GAATCATTCATTAAAAATCTGTTTAATAGACTGGGGACTGGAACTACAGTATCAAAAGTCCACAACTTCAATCTCTGACTGTAACAGCAACGAGTCAAGCGGCACGTGCTGATGTTCCCCCTATAACTGTCAAAGCCCACATGAACCAGAAGTTCAGTGATGGCACTAAACCCATGACAGTGTTTGCTGAGGTTAGTCAGAATTACAAGCCTGTAATAAATGCTGAAGTGTGGGCTACACTGGAGTCAGATTCTGGACCTGCACAAACATTACAACTCCTGGACAATGGAGCAGGTAAATGACCCATAATTCTTCTTCAAATGGTGCCCTCCACTTCAGAATTGCACTATATAGTCAAAAGTGCTCAAATAAATCCAGTATTATTTTACAGGAGCTGATGCTTTCAAAGATGACGGTGTCTATTCCAGATATTTCACAAAGATGAAAAACGGGAGAAGCAGCTTGAAAGTAAGAGTGAAGAATCGAGATGGACAAGCCAGATTTACTTTCCAAAAACGGGGTGGTGCGCCATACGTACCTGGCTATGTGATAAACGGTAACTATGAGCCTCTGAAAGCAAACTACTCAAACATTTCCTTAACCAGTTCCTGCAGATGTATTCATGTGGTTCCTCTAATTTCAGGTGTGGTGGAGCTGAACCCTTTAAAACCTCCAGTTTCGTCAGAATCGCTTGTAATCGGAAGCTTCACCAGAACAGCCACCGGAGAGAGTTTTGAGGTTGTTCTTAAAAGCACAACCCCACCAAATTTCCCTCCTAACAGAATCACAGATCTGAGTGCTGAGCTCCAGGAGGACACTGTGCTTCTCAGCTGGACAGCACCTGGTGAGGACCTCGACCAAGGGACAGGTAAAGCATACAATTTCAATACAAAATAGAAGTTATTTCAAAGCTAGCTCAGAGAATAATATGTCTTTCATAGGTCTTACAAGGTGTTTCTTTTCTTTTAAGCTAAATCCTACAAGATCATGTGGAGCTTTGAACTTAAAATGCTTCGATTCAACTTCAGCAATGCTCATGAAGTCAACATATCCGGCATCTCACCTCAGGAGGCCGGATCAGTTGAACAGCATTCATTCAATCTCAGTTTCCCAATCCAAAATGGCACAACCCTCTTCTTTGCGATTCAGTCTGAGGACAAAGAACTTGTCAAATCTGAAATCTCTAACATTGCTCAAGCTTCAAAGATCCTCCCTCATTCAAAACCCACAGAAGTGTTTGAGATAGACCTGAAATTTGTGTTTATTGCAATTGCTGTTTGTTTGGCCACTGTGGTGATTATTGGCATTATTGCGATAACAACATGGGCGTTGACACCAAGAAAACCTTCTTAGACCACAACCAACATTGACATCTGATTCAAAGAAAAAAGAAAATCTTTACATTTACAAAGTTACTTTAGTGAGTTGTCTTTATCTGTATACCTTATGCTTAGCAAAAATATAAAATGCAAAATAGAGTTTGGTAAAACTTTACATTTGTATTGGAATTGTTTGTATTTTCTAATGGCATAATTAAAGTTCCACTGAGATAATGGCAGCTGTTTAGTGTTTTTTTTTTTTTTTTTTTAGCTATT